ATTATATATTTATTCCCGACAAGCCGTTTCCGCACTTTCCACTGTTCATATTAAACTCCCAAAATAATCTTTATTAATTTAGGGGTGCTCATGAACCTTTTATTTTTGTCTTTTTTACTTCATTTTAATTCATTTTTAATATTATTCTTTTTAATTAATTTCGTTTTCCAGATAAACCCTAAATTAAGATCAAAATTTAAACTTTATAATTAACATATTTTTCGTAAATACGAGCTTTTAACTCAACAATAATTGCCATTTTACTAATCAAAAAGTTTGATACTGAAATTTCCAACAATTTTCTACGTGTAGCCATGAATCATACACTTATGAAACTATGGACTCAATACCGTTAAGCTTTCAAAATATAATATATTTTTTTTTCTTTTGTCGATCTTATTTTATTTTAATCTCTCTCGATCACATCTCATTTACTTTGTCTCTATTCTCGGATCATGGCTTTAGGTAATATTAAACGAACAATAACGGCTTAATATTTATTTTAATAAAAAATATTTTTCAACCAACGTTGATCCATAACATTAGATGGATTATTAATTACTGGACTAAGTATGTGAAGTGTATTTAATATTTTTATTACTTAAAAATTATATTTTCATGATGTTATTTACCTATAAAAATGTATACAAAAGAAATTGTAAGGTGTTATTTAAAATGCTTGTTAAAGAAAGGGTTTTACTTAAAAATACTTTGTTTAAAAGCAATATCAATTACATTTTAATTCAAATATTTAATTATTTTGGTTTTTCACAATAATACTAATACAATGAATCTAGAGCGTTGATGCATGTGCGTTTGGTTTTATTCATGTTAGTAGACGAGTTCCATGTGATCTTGATTCCATAACCTAAATTTACACGTTATAATGTTTTAGATTTGGATAATGTTTTCGCTTCAAATTAAGCCTATATTATAAAATTTATAAATGAAAAAGAACCATGAGCTCCGAGTAAAGTAAACTCATATCCTCCTACTCAAGGTTATGTACTGTGAGCCGTTATTATTACTCTCTTGCTTGCTTATATAACGTCTCTTTCAAAAACCTCTCTCTACCCTCGTTTTCTAAAGTCTTCTTCTTAAACTGAGGTCAAAGACTTAGCTCACTTGTGTTTGGAAAGTGAGTGCGGCACAACCGCAAGTCCGCTGCCATCAAACGTGCGATCAATGATACATGAATAAACAGAACTACATTCAAATGAGAATAAAAAAATTGATAGTTACTATTTATATGGACGTGTACCTTTCTCCTAGGTCATTTAATTAGTTAAAATAATTAAAATATAAAAACTAAAATGGGAAGTATTGGTCAAACAAAAAGATTTTGAAAAAAAAAAATGCCACCTCAATTAAAAGCCGGTGCCACGTGTCAATACCCGAATGGAACAGTGTGTACTTTAAAATCCAAGTATACAATAAAAGTAAACATATATAATTTGAAATATAAAGAAAAGAATAAATAATAATATTAATTAATTAATTAAAAACAACATGTCTTTGTCATTTAGTTACAGCTATTTATATACGGCGGCACCAAAACAAGACCTGTAACGCACATGGTGTGGGGACCATTAGATCATCGACACGTGTACAGTATTAAAAACAAAAGTGAGGTTGTTAGCACGTGCCGCACGAATGCGCTCTATACGACACGTGGTGGCTTCTCCGTGTTAAGTGGCACGTGCAATTACTACGTCGTCGTTTTTGAGGCAGATAGGAATTTAAAAGGAACAAGTAATTAGGTAATTTTTCATGCACTACACATTTGGTATGAATGCGTTACAGCTTTGGTATGGATTCATTGTATGCAAAAAATTAATGTTAATCTTGAGTTGAATTCATTGTTTGTTTGTGTTACGAAGTTAGTGGGATTTAGCAGATTTTGGAATTTTTGTGAAACATATGTTCTTTTCACATACCCATGAGTCAAATTCAAAAAAAAAAAAAAAAAAAAAAAAAAAAA